AAAATTCAGCTTGTGTGTGGATGTGTGTAAAAGATTAAAATCTTGATGACTTAAGAACGAGGTGTGTGTGTGTGTGTGTGTGTGTGTGTGTGTGTGTGTGTGTGAGGGTAGCCCTCGTGGGAGTTGTTCACAATCCGCAGTCTCGTGCAGCATCCCGAGTGCTGCTCGCCATCAGCCGGAGAACACCTGAGCTTCTGGGCCAAAACCCAGTGTGTGTGTGTGTGGGAGCACTGATGTAATTCAATCCTTTTTTTATAATCTCACAGTTTATGTTGTAAACGTAAATACATAAAAAACATATGAAGCAAAAATAAATGTGCATTCATTTCTCGAGGCTGCGTATAAATAAAAGCACAAATATAGTTTTCATTCAGGATGAAGGTCTGATCCGATCATTCATCTCATCATCGCTTCATCCTAACCTCGGTTTTTTTCTTTCCCAGATATTCAGCTGACATAAGCGGGTTTGAAAGTTTCGCTGCGAGGCTGCATCAGATTGGTGCAGAGGCATCAGGACAAAGAGGCTGCGCAGCGCGGGGACGCCACAAAGACCAGGGTCCACCCAAAACCCTGCTCATCACACCACATGCAACCACATCAGCCTGTGGAGCTTTTATTGATCAGTTTATTCATTTAACCGATTGTGCGTAAAGAAAAAAAACTCCTCTGTCATGTGGTTTTATGGAAACTTCAATACAACATGGATTATTAAATCGCAGGCCGCAGTAATTCAGCATTAAAAAGCATATTCTTTTTAAACATCCCTGTATGAATGATTTACGTTAAGGCCTTGTGATGATTCTTGTTCTTTACGCAATAAATCGAAGCTTCCACTCATTCAGCTCGGAAATCAACATTTTACGCACAGATCCACAGAGGAGACCTTAAACGCCACACGTCACAGATCAGCATCACAACCGGGATTATCCTCCGTCACCTCATCACACATCAACCTGAACCTCTGCATGGCGGTGGAGGAGCTCCCGGGGGCGCGCACCAGCCTCATCCATTCATGCTTTCTTATCAGCGACACTTGTACAAACACGCGCACCGCTCCCACACCAGCAGCTCCCCGTTAAAGACACGGTTCAGTTATGGCTGACTTACCCCCGCCACGGTGCCGGGCTGAACAGACGTGTTCCCATCTGTTCCCAGGATGATGGTGGTCTGGCTCATAGCCGTCCAGTTGCCCGCGGTGTTGTTCTGCTCCGCGGCGGCCCGCAGCGGGTCGCCGCACTGGGCGGACCCCCCGCGGGCCGAACCGGCGGAATCCTTCCTGAAGGCCGAGTTGACAGCCACGGATCCGGGCACGACCGGTGGGGTGTTTTTAAACGTCCCATACGCTTTATTGCTGTCCGCGTCTCCCGGTTTATTTTCCGTGGGACAAAAAGTTTTGTTCTCGTTGCACGGAGGCTGAGGCGCCGGATGATGGTGCGGGGAGGGAGGCGCGCACGCAGCAGTGTTGTCCGGTTTGTTTGTTGTAAGTCCCGCAGCTCCGTCGGGCTGCTGCGCCGGGATGTAGCCGGTGGCCGGTTGTTTGGCCATGTCTCTCTGGTCTGAGGAATCCTGGAACATGGAGGAGACAGATCAGCACAGACAGAACAACAGAACCCGTGAAACCAGGAGGCTGCTGCCGCTCATCTCCGCTGCGGGAATAAAAATGCTCAATTCTGCAACGTTTTTCTGCAGCATGTCCTGACTCTAGCTGCTCTATAGTTTGGGCTCACAATCTACCGGTGTATGCGTGTGCGTGCGTGTGCGTGCATGCATGTGTGCGTTGGAGGGGAGGAGGGGGGTTGCTTTGCTTCTCCAGTTCTCGCTTTCTGCAAGATTCTTTAATTTTACGCCCCATTTCCCCCTCATGTCATTCAGCCACACACATCCACTGATTTTTATGGGCAATAGACAAGCTGCTGCGGGTCTCTCGGTGGCTCCGCTCTCCCCGGCAGGCATGCGAGATCACCGGCGTCACAGCAGCGAGCGGACCCGGGGCTGAGGAATTACAAATGACTCCCTGAGATTTAGCTTGGAGGAGGCGGGAAAGACCCCAGGGAAGCCTCCAGATTCTAAAAATGGAAAGTGTGGTTATTTGAGAAAAAGGGGGGAAAAATCGTCCTGATTGATTAACGCTCAGTTCTGCTGTTAATTAGTGGGGAAATAACTAGACTCGGTTAAATAGCACATGGGTGTAATTGGCTTCTGGTTAATAAGAAAATGGATAAATAAGGAAAAGAGGTAAAATGGAGGAGAATAAACTTTCCCCTCAATTTGAAGTTATAAAGACACAGATGACACATTTCTACAAAAGTAAAAACTGGTTTGATTCCTGACAGAACAAAGTGAGGAAAGTTTTTTCTAAATGTAAAAACAGTTGCATTTCAGCACCACGGACAGCGCAACTACCCCCCAACGCACCAAACAGCTCCTTTTGTTTTTTGAAAGTGTCAAATGAACAAGAAACAAACGGAGAATAAGTTTATAAAAGAGATGAACTCCAGGTGGAAACGTCAAGAAAAGTGTGTCAGGACACTCACCATGTTTTTATCTTGTCCAAAGCTCTTCTGGCGGAGAGGGAGCAGCTGTACAAAAGACGAGGAGAGGACTGGGAGCTGGTGCCTGTAGCCGCGCAAAGAGCCAAGTGCAAAGCTTTTCTATAGGTCCGTGGGAAAGAGTTTGCGTCAGTGCGGAGCAAGGTGCCCTTCGCGTGACATTTTCTTGATAATAGGAGTTTGATAAATCATTGGCCTTGGATTCGGATTTTTAAAGGGACAACCGGAGCCAAGACGACAGGGGGGGGGGGCGCGCGGTTGTGCGTGCATGGATTTGTGTGCGTTCCGGTTACGCAAGATGCCTGCGTGAGCGCTGGACGGACTCCTTCAAAGCTGATTAATACACTTGTCTCCAGGGACGTGTAGGGTGCTCCCACACACACACGCGCACACACACACACACACACACACACACACACACACACACACACACACAACATGATTTCTAGGTTCAGGCTCTTATTGGGAGGATGTAACGAGCAACACCAGAGTGCACGTGGGTCGAAATAATATCTGCACTGTACTGAGTCGTGTTTTTCTGGTACAGTCACAATTATAGTGGCCACTCTTTTGGAATGAGGCATTTGGTGTTTGCAAGATTCTTGGTTCTAAAGAAAACTTTCTTCATAATCTACCCAGAAAACTTGGGCCTGGAAATGTAGAAACTTGCATCTAAGTGTGTATTTGAGTTGTTATATATCAAAAAAGGAGACTGACATTTTTATAAATATTATTAGAAACAGACATACTATGACTAAGCTTATACAAAATCCGTTATTGGTCATTGTTATAAGTAAAATCGGGGGTTAAAGAATATGTGCTAAAAATGGTCTGAACTATAAATAGTTTTTCCACTTGGAGGGTTTTACGCACCAGGATCTATAGGTTAGGCTTCTTCGTGCGTCATCGATAGAAGCAATGATCAAGTTGAACAAATGAAAAAAAAGAAAGTAGGCGAGGTCTTTGAGAAGCTACTCATTTGTTCATGTCTTACGCAAGAAGGGAGGAGGGAGGCCGCTTTCCCGAAACCACGTGTGTCAGAATGGAACTGGAGCCAAGAGCCAACCGCTGGAGCCTGGACTCAAAGCAGTGACAGCGCAGGGTGTAAAAAAAAAAAAAAAAAAAAAAAAGGTGACACACACTGTAGATTCTGAAACACTGCATTGCGCATATGTAGCAGCGGCCAAGTCTCCATTCACATCAGATAATGTACAGTCGAGTCGTGTGTGTGGGAAACCGTCCAAAAACTAAAAGAGACTCAACTCACCTTTCGTCAATTGAGGAGAAATTTGATTTTGGATTGTTGAACATATCTTTAGGCCTCGATACAGCGGATCATCACACACAAGAGCTGCAGGAGACAAGACACACACACACATGCACTTTAAAACACACACATGCTCATAAATAAACACACACTGGGCTCATACAGGGGAAGGAAATTGGTTTCATGTAAATTGAATTAAATTTTGACAGTTAGAGGTGATTTTGCTTAATGAAGCGAAACATCTGGGCCCTCTCCTCTTATTGATGGAATCTGATGCTCAGACATGACTGTGCAAATTATAACAAATGAAAATAATCACACTGTTTAGCTGCATATAAAATATATAGTGAAAATAATGATGATAAAGATAATATTCAATTGCAAGGAGGGCACTATGTTTTTTTATGTTATAGGCTGATAATAATTATTGGGCTTTTAATTGACGTTGTCTTTAAACGGGTTAAAATCATTAGGATCATTTTACATCACGAAACTATTCAGTCATTTGAGGATTTTAAAAACATCAAAGAACGAGTCTACATCACGTTTAAACCTTTTTCCCAAACCATGTAAATAATAACCTCACGTGTCTGTTTGTCATAAACTCAAAGTATTTGCTCTACATTAAATAATCAAACACTTTTTGTGATGGGTGATGATTTCACGACAGCTGTGAGCAGGTTTGAGGCTGCGCTCTCTCTCTCTCTCTCTCCTCATTGTGCGTGTGCGTCCGTGCATGCGCTCCAGATAAGCGGCTGCAGCGTGTGCACGAGCCGCCGCCTCGACTTTAATTACATTGTCAACAGAGAATAATTGTAATTGATTTCTGCTCCTCTTCCTCCCACCGGCGCGCACACATACGCGCGCGCACACAGGGCTATAATCATGCCAACACGTGTAGTTTTGATTCTCATCAGTTTTTTTTTTTAAAGGTTTCAGTCAAACCAGAACTCTCTCTCTCTCTCTCTCTCTCTCTCTCTCTCTCTTTCTCTCTCATTGTCTCTCTCTCATTCTGCTGGATCCAGATCTCAACAGCAATCATTATTAATATTATTATAATAATTGGTTCTGCTATCATTAATAACATAATTGCATCTTTAAATATCACTCTTGTTATTTTCTGTTCTTGGTCTTGCTCTTTCTCTATTTTCACCCCCATCTCTCTTCCCTCCCCCATTTTTCTCCCCTCAACCCCAACCGGTTGAGGCAGATTTCCGCCCACATTTTTTCACTCCACAGTCTCCAAAGTGATTCCTGCTTGTCGGAGCTGTTGGATTTCTCTGTACCGTCTGAGGTCTCGAACTTAACCTACAAATACACTTTAATTGATTTTTGAATTGAGCGAGGACTCGCAGGTTTGCAGAGCTTTACGCACGCGCATCAGAGGAATAAGCTTCTATTGGCTCTTGGTTTTCATCTTCCAATGAGATTCACACTTCACAAAGTCTCCATCATCTGTTTTTCTATTTCTGGCCCAGACTGAAGTCCTGGTGGAGGAGCAGGGCTGACGCACGGCACGCACGCGGAGGAGGGAGACTTTTCTGGGTGTCTCCTCGCGCTCGTTAATTACGTGAGCTCGTGTAATTAATTGATCGTTCACTCCCACTGTCGCCTGAGCGATAAGAAGCCGCATCCATCTGAGGCGTCAGGCGCCTGGAGAGCAGCGATTCAGAGGAGCAGGTCAACCAGAGGCCCAGGGCTCCCCTTCATCATCATCATCATCACCATCATCATCATCATCATCATCATCATCATCACAATCAGTTCTGGATGTCAGAGGCCTCACGCTGCCTCAGAAAAAAACTGTCAAATGTGTTTTACTTACCAAAGTATTAACAAAAATAAAATTCCATATGTCTTTTCTCAGTTCAGATGGTTTTCTAAAGATGTTCAGGATCAACCTAAAATTCACAGCCTAAATAAATGTGACATAGAGTTGTGGCACAAATTACAATATCCATGGAAGGACGGAAGATGGGCCAACAAAGAATCCATGAAATTATCCCGGTCTTTAATATTGTGAGATAGGGAGGTTTTAAAGATCTTGATGACAAAAATCTGGCATATTTTAGAGCACTGATATTTATGAGTGTGTGAGTGAAGATTGATTGAATTCAATGGGACTGTTGGGCTTTTCTTGTGTCACTGTATGAAGCTGCAGGTATGAGAATCAAATGGTTAAAATGCAGATGCTTAAATGAAAATCTAATGTGAGCAGAATATGTCCAGTTGGATTTCATGGAGTAATAAGACTGTGTTAGGCTGACGAAAGGCTGTTTCTGTGCAGGACCTGGTTTTGCTTAATGACACTGGTACGTATGTATCAGGTACATTAAGGGGACTGGATACTGTGGAGTTAGTTGGGAACCAACGGTTTAGATGTATCTTAAATAGTTTTGGAACTATGACAGAATTTAAGGAACTTCTGGGCCTCGGTGGACGTAGAGTATGTCTGATGCTCTATACAGACTATAGAGCCACACTAGTTTTCCTAATGAATACGACCTGAGAACTCAAAACATGGAGAGGCAACTCATCAAACATGACAAATTCAACAGTTTGACTTTTTGCAGTTCTTGCCATTTGCTGGTTTGTTTAAGAATATATAAGAAAATGTTGTTTGGAGCTGAAGGAATTCATGTTGGGTTTTCAAAAGGTCTGTGATTCATCTCAGGCAGAAAATGAAACAGAAAATTTCAGTGGACTGCAGCTGACTCGATGTATTGATGTTCACAGGAGCCGTAGAAATACACGACAAG